AAGGACTGCACAGGGAGCTCATGACAAGGAATTCGGGGCACAGGCACCGGGGTCACCCCAACCAGCACTGAGGAGCAAAACCCAACCCCAGAGGCAGCAGGGAAGCAGAGCCCCTCGGCTCTCCATGCAGGGACACCGCAGGCACCAGTGCATCCCGCTCAGCACCACCTGCATGCATGCATGCACGCACCCAGGATCCTCTGCCTCTTCTCAGCAGCGCTCAGGTTGAAGACGTTGGGCTGCTGCCCCGCATCCTGCCGGTAGTAGGTCTCGATCTCGATGGAGAACTTCTCCACAAAGGGACACGTGTACCTGGGGTTGGGGGGGGAACGCAATGGGGCAAAGCATTGAAACCCATTGGCACGGCCGGGCCCCACATCCCACCCCATATCCCCCCACTGGGCTCATACCGGGTGCGGGTGTAGGGGTAAGCGTTCCAGGACTCCTCCTCCACCTGCAGGGCGGCCTTAGGGAGCAGGGCCCGGAACCAGCTGGGGATGTGGGAGCCCACATGGTAAACCTTGTGCGTGTACTGGCCGCTGCCGCCGGGGCCGTCGCTGTAGGGCCGGTTGGCCAGGATCTCCACGCCGCTGCCCTCGCCGCTCGACTCCTCCCGGCTCTTCTTCTGTAGGGGGGAGCAGGGAACCCCCCCTAAGCTGCACAGCCCCGAGGCCTCGGCTCCTCACTGGGGGTCCCCTATGCTCCATAGCCCCCTGTCCCCTGGGCTTCTCCACCCCAGCACCGGGACCCCGGCTTGGTTCGGTGGCCCCAATGCAACCGATAGCTCTGCAGCCTGCTAGGGCCTTGGGGTCAGCCGCAGGACCCCGTGGGCTGTGCTCAGCCCCATAGCACCCCCCCATGCTCAGCCCCATAGCCCCCTATGCTCAGCCTCATAGCACCCCAAGCTCAGCCACATAGAACTCCCTAGGCTCAGCCCCATAGACCACAGCCCCATGCTCAGCCAACTCCCACACACCCTGGTCAGCCCCATAGCCCCCCCTTACTCAGCACCACAGCCTCCATGCTCAGCCCCATAGCTCCCCCCCATGCTCAGCACCATAGCCCCCCCATGCTCAGCCCCATAGCCCCCCCTTACTCAGCACCACAGCCTCCATGCTCAGCCCCATAGCTCCCCCCCATGCTCAGCCCCATAGCCCCCCCTTACTCAGCACCACAGCCTCCATGCTCAGCCCCATAGCCCCCCATGCTCAGCACCACAGCCTCCATGCTCAGCCCCATAGCCCCCCATGCTCAGCACCACAGCCTCCATGCTCAGCCCCATAGCCCCCCATGCTCAGCACCACAGCCTCCATGCTCAGCCCCATAGCCCCCCCATGCTCAGCACCATAGCCCCACATGCTCTGCCCCATACCCCCATGCTCAACCCCATAGCCCCCCATGCTCAGCCTCACAGCCCTCTGCACCACCCGTGCTCCATGCTCAGCCCCACAGCCCTCTGCATCCCTCCATGCTCAGCCCCACAGCCGCTGCACCCCCATTGCTCCATGCTCAGCCCCACAGCTCTCGGCTCCCCTCACACTCAGCCCCGCAGCCCCCTCAGGCTCAACACCTCAGCCCCCTATAGCCCCCACAGCTCCCTGCACCCCACATCCCCCAGTCCCCACCTGGATCATGTAGAGCTGGGCCACCTGGTACTCGTCCAGGCTCATGGGCAGCACGATGCGGTACTCCTTGATGAGCATGGCGCCGGGGGGCAGCGCCCGCAGGCCCGCCCGGACCCGGCCTCCGCTCCCGCTTCGGCCCGGCCTGGCCCGGCCCGGCCCGGCCCGCTCGGCGCCCGCTGCGACGCTCCCGGGCCCGCCCCGCTCCCATGGCAACGCGCCCCCCGCCCGCTCGGCTCCGCCCGCCCCCCTTCGGAACCACTCGGCACTTTTCGGCTCCGCCCGCTCCTCCTCCCCCCCCCCCCCTCCTTCGGCTCCTCTCGGCCTCCTTCGGCTCCCCCCGCCGAACCTGCGCTGCTCCGAACCGGCCCGTGACATCACAGCCCGTTCCCACGGAGACGGCCGTGACGTAGCGGGGGGGGGGGTGACGTCAGAGGCGAGGAGGCCGAGGCACGGGCAGCACCGGGTCCGCTTCCCAGGGCACGGCCCCGGCTGGGACCGAGACCCACGGGGCTTCACTTAGAACCAGCCCTTGATTTAAGGGCTAAAACCGGGTTTTGCTCATTCCCACACTGCTCAGACTTCCACAGCAATGGGATCCCGCGCAACCCCTGTCCCGGTGTCACCGGTTGCAGCCACCAGGGCACCAAGACCGCTTGTTATCCGTGTACCCCCCCTGCAGAGCCCCAACCGGAGGCACAGCCCCAACCACGTCCTTTATTTATAAAAACACGCATTTAGAAAGAGCGGAGAGCACGGGGGAAGGGGGGGGGCGAGGGCAGCGAAGCCGCTCCCCCCCAACACCCCCCCCCCCCCGCCACCGCCGCCAGCGGGGCAGAGACACCGGGGCTCCCGGGGGGGGGTCCCGGGGGGCAGCAGCCGTTACGTGCGGGCGTTGCGCTCTGTCTCTGCCAGGCACTCCCGGACCAGCGCCCGGGCGTGGATGATGCCTGCGGGGAGAAGCACAAGGGACAGCGCGCATCAAACCGGGGGAAGGGCGACGGACCGGGAACGGCGGGGGAAAGGGGGCCCCGTCCCCGGTCCTACCGCGCTTCAGCCGCTCCATGGCGCTCTTGCTGCCGGCGTACGTGGGCCGGATCTCCTTCCCCATCTCCTCGATGACGGAGAGCAGGTCGGTGTAGGTGCTCTGCGAGCCCTGAGCCCCGGGGGGCTTCATCGCCTGCGGCGGAGCGAAGCGGGGGGAACGCACGGAGGGGTGAAGACACCGGCCCCGGTGCCCTCGGTCACCCCGCTGCCAGCCCCGCCACCCCCGGCCTCACCTGCACGTAGCCCATGGACGGCGGCCCGAAGTCATTGAAGAGGGGCCGGAAAGGGGCGGCGGCGCCGGGGACAGAACCGGAGGGCGAAGGGACACTCGTGGCTACGAGAAACGCGGAGTTACCGGTTGCCCCCCCCCCACCGGTGCCCTTCCCTTCCCCCGCGGGGCTGCGCTCACCGGCGGGAGGTGCCCCAGGCCCCGGCGGGGCGGGGCTGGCGCTGGCGGCTCCGGGGGTCGCTGGGGCGGGAGCGATGGGCTTGTAGGACATCCCCGACGGCCGCCCGCCGCTCCCGGCGCCCTGGAGCGCGGCGGGGCTCGGTGAGCGGCCCCCGCGCTCGCCCCGCCGGTTCCGCCGCCTGTGCCCGCCGCTCCTCAGCGCAGCTCAGCTCGGAGCCCGCGCACACCCGAGCCCCGCGGACGGGGGAAGCGGAACCGCGGCGCCGGTACCGGTTTAGCGCAGGCCCCGCCGCTGCCCTGGCCTAGCCTGACCCGGCCTCCGCCGGCACCGCCGCTCGCCCTGATGACGCGAGAGTGCGTGCGACGCCGCGATGACGTCATCACGCCGCCTTTCCCGCCCCTTTCCCGGATCACCGTGGAGACGCGCGGCGTCAGCCCCGCCCCTTTGGGTTTGGGTGGAAAAGAGGCGGAAATGGTTAAATCCAGCGCTTAACCCATCACTGCCCCGTGAGGCCATAGGGTTTGGGAGCACTTGCAGGGCCGGTTCCCTGGGCAGCCTGTTCCAATGCCTGAGCACCCTCTGGGGCAGGAATTGTTCCTCAGCTCCATCTAACCCTGCCCTGGTGCAGCTTGAGGCCGGTTCCTCTTGTCCCATCCCTTGTTCCTTGGGAGCAGAGCCCAGCCCCTCCTGGCTCCATCCTCCTGTCAGGCAGTTGGAGGCAGCCATCAGGTCCCCCCTGAGCCTTCTCTTCTCCATCTGAACCCCCCAGCTCCCTCAGCCCTTCCCCATCACACTTGGGCTCCAGGCCCTGCCCCAGCTCCGTTGCCCTGCTCTGGCCCCGCTCCAGCCCCTCAAGGTCTCTCTTGCAGTGAGGGGCCCAGAGCTGAGCCCAGGATCCGAGGTGCAGCCTCCCCAGTGCCCAGCACAGGGGCCCAATCCCTGCCCTGCTCCTGCTGCCGCACTGGTGCTGGTGCAGGCCAGGACGCTGGGGGCTCCTTGGCTGCCTGGGCTCAAGCTGCTCCTGCTCAGCTCCAGCAGCTCCTTTGCCACCAGCAGTTTCCAGCCGCTCTCCCCAAGCCTGGAGCGCTCCATGGGGCTGTTGTGGCCCCAGTGCAGGACCCAGCCCCGAGCCTGCTTGAATCTCACGCCATTGACCACAGCCCAGGGATCCAGCCCGGCCAGATCCTCCTTGCAGAGCCTCCCTATCCTCCAGCAGATCCACTCCCACCCTTGGTGTCACCTGAAGTGACTCAGGGGGCCCTCCAGCCCCTCATCAATGAACACACCAAACAGCACTGGCCCCAGCCCCAAGCCCTGAGGGCCACCACCAGTGCCCGGTCACCGGTTGGATGTGGCACCTTTGTATGCCCCCAATGAGCCCAACAGCCCCATGACCCCAGCAGAGTGATGGGAAACGACTGGAGATGGGGATCCGCTGCTGTGACCCCTGCTACCGGCCCCACCATCCCCGGTGCTCCCCCCCGGTATCACCCACCCCACCAGGACAAGCGGTGCCCCACAACTTGTGCTTAAACTCCACACAAAGACAAAGCAGCACCCATGGAGCTGATTTCTTTGCATTTCAAACGGGCAAATTTCACCCCAAAGCGCTCCCAGGGCAGGACCCGGCCGCTGCCGCTCCCTGTCTGCGGTGGAACCGGGATGCTTCATTCCCAGTGCCTTCCCTGGAGGATGTCCCGGTTGAAGCCCTGAGGAACGTGCACCGGGGCTGGGAAGCAGGGGGATGCCCTGGGCACGTCTGGGGTAGGGAACGGGGGGCAGGCAGTGGGATACACCCGGAATCACAGCATGGGGGGACAGGGTTGGGGATGGGAGCCAGTGGGAGGCTGGGGGGGGATGAGCAGGGAGGGCTTTGGGATGCACTCAGGGCAGGAAGGGGGAACGCTGAGGGCAGAGCCAAAGCCCAGCCCGGTGGCATCCCCGGTGCCCACTGCGATGGGACCTCAGCACAAAGCCAAGGATGAGGCTGAGCACCGCCGGTGAGGGCCTTGCCCCGGGCTTGGGTACCGGTATCAGCACCGGTACCGGGTGTCTCCATGGCCCCCTCCTCTTCTTAAGGCACGGTGTGGTCCTGTGTTGGCACACGCCGCCCTCAGCGCGACATCATCCGCACAAACTCTGCCAGCGGGGGAATACACACGGAGCATCCCGAGCATCCCTGAGGATGCTCCCAGCCCCGTCCCCCCCCTCCATCCCCAGCCCCTCCATCCTACCTTCGAAGTCCACCAGCCCGTCCCCATTGAGATCCACGTCCTTGAGGATCTCGTCCACCTCGCGGTAGTTGAGCTGCTGCCCCAGCAGCTTGCGCATGGCCTCCCGCAGCTCTGCCATGCTGATCTGCCCGTCGCCGTTGGTGTCGAACTGCGGGCGAGCACCCATGGGCGACACCACCCTCAGGGCATTGCCACAGCCCCCCCATCCCCATCCCCATCCGCTCACCTCGCGGAAGGCATCGCGCAGCTCCTTGATCCCGATCATATCCGCTGTCTCCGCCAGCATCTTGGGGCCCATCAGCTCCACAAAGTCATCAAAATCCACTTTTCCCCCGGCTGTGGTAGGAAGGGGGGGAACAGGGCGATGTGGGGCAGGCAGGGTGATGGGGGGAGCTGCCCCTATGATCCCCCCCCCCTTCCCCACGTACTGATCTGCTGGGACAGCTCGATGAGCTCCATCTCGGTGGGCATGTAGCCCATGGTCCGCATGCACTCGCCCAGGTCCTTGTAGCTGATGTAGCCATCGCGGTCCTTGTCGAACTCCCGGAACGCCTGCTTCAGCTCTGGCAGCACCATGGCACGTCACCGCACCGCATCCCGCAGCACCCCGCAGCACAGAGCCCCAGCACTCACCTTCGATCTCCTCAGGCCGCAGCTCTCGGTCCTGGGGGAGGGAGAACATGGGAAGAGCCAACGGAAGGCTCCTTGTCCCACCGCCACCCCTCACCCCGTGCCGGCTCACGTGCGTACCCGCTGGGTGACGGCGATGCTCTGCCGCAGGAAGATGCAGGCCGGCCCCACCAGTCCCTGCAGCACTGAGTAGCCTTGCAATGGGGGGGACTGCGCCGCTTCCGACCCCTCCTCGGGGTCCCCGGCACCGGGAGGCACGGGGCCAGAGCGTGGCTTCCCGTCCTGTGGGGACAACGCGGGGTCAGGGGGGGGGGGGCTCATCTTCCCCCTGTTCCCACCGCGCACCCAGGGGCAGCCGTACCTTGGGGAGCCTCCGCTCGGGGGTCTTGGTGCAGTTGCCCATGGCCGGGGCTGCGCCCGCATGCCCGGCCCCCGGGGGGAGAGGCCCCGGGGTTGGAAGGGGGGGGGGAGCGGGAGCGGCTGTGCCGGGATTGGAGGTTTTTATGGAATATCTGGGGATATGCAGGGCAGCGGGGGGGGGCCGTGCCCGCGCACACACATAATCCCCCGGATTATGCCCTGCTCCAGATGTGGGGAGCCGCCCAGCTGTTCCCGGCCCCCCACCCTCCCCACGGGCTCCCGGGCCTCGCCGGTTACCTGCCGGGAAGCAGGGGGCAGCGGGGACCCCGTCTCCTCGGAGGCCCGATGATGCTCCATAGGGAAACACGCGCAGCCAGGGCTCGGCCGCCCCAAGGTGCTGGTGGTGCCGCGGCTCCTCCGCCCCCCAAACCGTGGGGCCGGGTGGATGCGGCGGCCGCCCCGGGTGCTCTGGGAGCGGTTGGGGGACGCGGGGCCGGCGGTGCCCCGCCGTGTGGGTGTACGGAAGAGGAAGAACATGGCAACAGCCGCCCCGCACCGCCGCTCCCCGCCGGTCCCTCTGCCACCCTCGGAGCTCGGCAGGGGGGAAACCGGATCCCCGGGGCCCTGCGCTCGTCCCGGCCCCGCTCCGTCGCCGGGACGAAGGCAGGGCCGGTGCGGGGGGAACGCGGGCACAAACAGGGCTGCGGCGGGGGCAGAACGGGCCCAGGGGGCCCGAGGGACCCGGTTTGGAACAATGGAGCCCCCGCAGGGTGCTGGGAGGGGGGCATCGGCACCGGGCGCCCCAGGGGGGCGCCGGGGGAGGTCGAGCGGCGGCCTCCGGTTACAGCCCGAAACCCGACCCGCGCCGGGGGCACGTGGCGGCGAGGAGCCAGCGTGGCCACGCCCCCTCCTATAAGCCACGCCCCCAGCCGCATCCATGTAACCTCGCCCACTTCCCGAGGCCACGCCCCCCACGCGGCCACGCCCCCTCCCCTGCGCTGCGCGCTGCCGTCACCGCCGAGCCTTGCGTCGCGTCGCTGGTTGGTGACGTCAGAGCGCGGCGCCGCTGGAGGGGCGGCTGAAGGTGACGGTGGTGCCGGTGTCCGCCATGGCCGCCCGGCAGCTGCTGGGCCTGCGCCGCCTGCCCGGGGCCGCCGCCTCCTTCTCGGTGAGAGCCCGCGGGGACCGGGGCGGTGCTACCGGTACTGCGGGGGTACCGGTGTTAGCGGTGTTACCGGTACTGCGGGGGGCCGGTGTTATCGGTGTTATCGGTGTTACCAGTGTTACCGGTGCTGCGGGGGTACCGGTGTTATCGGTGTTACCGGTGTTACCGGTACTGCGGGGGTACGGTGTTATCGGTGTTATTGATGTTACCGGTCCTACCGCAGTTACCAGTGTTATCGGTGTTACCGGTACTGCGGGGGTACCGGTGTTATCGGTGTTATTGATGTTACCGGTCTTACCGCAGTTACCAGTGTTACCAGTACTACCTTGGTTACTGCTGCTGCCGCAGTTACCGGTGTTACGGGTGTTAACAGTGTTACCGGTAGCACCATGGTTACCCGTGTTACTCATGTTACCAGTACTGCTGCAGTTACCGGGGTTATCAGTGTTATTGGTACTGCCGCAGTTAGTTACTGGTGCTATCAGTGTTATATGTGTTACCAGTACTGCCACAGTTACTGGTGTCATCAGTGTTACCAGTGTTATTGGTGTTACTGGTACTGCTGCAGTTACCAGTGTTATCAGTGTTATTGGTGTTACTGGTACTCCTGTAGTTACCGGTGTTATCGGTGTTATTGGTGTTACCGGTACTGCCACAGTTACTGGTGTTACCAGTGTTATCAGTGTTATTGGTGTTACCGGTCCTGCTGCAGTTACCAGTCTTACTGGTGTTACTGGTGTTACCGGTCCTGCCATAGTTACCGGTGTTACCGGTGCGTGTCTCCCTGCAGACAGCTCCCAAGAAGACGCAGTTCGGGTCTCTGAAGGATGAGGACCGCATCTTCACCAACCTCTATGGGCGGCACGACTGGAGGTGAGGACCGGGGGTCGGTGGGTGTGGGGGGGGGGGGCTGGATCCCGGTGCCGGTGCCACCGTCCGTGCCCCTCCGCAGGCTGCAGGGCGCGCTGCGCCGCGGGGACTGGTACAAGACGAAGGAGATCCTGCTCAAGGGCGTCGATTGGATCCTGGCCGAGATCAAGGCCTCGGGGCTGCGGGGCCGCGGCGGCGCCGGCTTCCCCACGGGCCTCAAGTGGAGCTTCATGAACAAACCCCCCGATGGGAGGTGAGAGCCGGCACCGGCGCCACCGGCACGGCCCCTGCCCCTGTGCGGAGCACGGGTGGTGATGGCGCCCGCCCCATCCAGACCCAAGTACCTGGTGGTGAACGCGGACGAGGGCGAGCCCGGCACGTGCAAGGACCGCGAGATCATGCGCCACGACCCGCACAAGCTGCTCGAGGGCTGCCTGGTGGCCGGGCGGGCCATGGGCGCCCGCGCTGCCTACATCTACATCCGCGGCGAGTTCTACAACGAGGCCTCCAACCTGCAGGTGAGGGCTGGGGGGCACTGGGGGGGGGACTGGACCCCCATTGGAGCCGTGCGAGCCCCGCTTCCACTGCAGGTGGCCCTAAGGGAGGCCTATGAAGCCGGGCTGTTAGGGGGGGACGCCTGCGGGTCGGGGTACGCCTTCGATGTGTTCGTGGTGAGGGGCGCTGGAGCCTACATCTGCGGCGAGGAGACGGCGCTGATCGAGTCCATTGAGGGCAAGCAGGGCAAGCCCCGGCTGAAACCACCCTTCCCCGCTGATGTGGGTACGGCGATGGATGCTCTAGGGTCATGGGATGGGGTGGGATGAAGGCAGCTCAAAGCTCACCCAGTTCCAACCTTTTCCCCTTGCTCCAACCCCCTGTGTCCACCCTACCCTTGAGCACTGCCAGCGATGGGGTTGCTGCGGTCCCGGTGCCACCGTCCCGCTCCGCCCTCCCGCAGGTGTCTTCGGCTGCCCCACCACGGTGGCCAACGTGGAGACGGTGGCCGTGTCCCCCACCATCTGCCGCCGCGGCGGGGCCTGGTTCGCCGCCTTCGGCCGGGAGCGCAACTCGGGCACGAAGCTCTTCAACATCTCCGGCCACGTCAACAGCCCCTGCACGGTGGAGGAGGAGATGTCGGTGCCGCTGAAGGAGCTCATTGAGAAGCACGCGGGTTGGTGGCATAGGGGAGGCCGGCGCGGTGGCACCGGTTCACAGCATCCCAGTATGTTAGAGACTGGAAGGGACCCCATAAGCTCATCCACTCCAATCCCCCTGCCGGAGCAGGAACACCCAGATAAGGTTACACAGGAACGTGTCCAGGCGGGTTTTGATGTCTCCAGAGAAGGAGACCCCACAACCTCCCTGGGCAGCCTGGTCCAGTGTTCTGTCACCTCACTGAGAAGAAGTTTAAGTGGAACCTCTTGTGTTCCAGTTTGTACCCATTGCCCCTTGTCCTATCATTGTTTGCCACTGAGAAGAGCCTGGCTCCATCCTCGGGACACTCCCCCTTTATATATTTATATACACTAATAAGGTCACCCCTCAATCTCCTCTTCTCCAAACTATAGAGACCCAGCTCCCTCAGTCTCTCCTCATAAGGGAGATGCTCCACTCCCTTCATCATCCCAGTTGCCCTGCGCTGGACTCTCTCCAGCAGGTCCCTGTCCCCCTTAAACTGAGGGGCCCCGAACTGGACCCACGGTTGGGTCCCTCTGACCCCTTGTTTTGGCAGGGGGTGTCCGTGGGGGCTGGGACAACCTCTTGGCCGTCATCCCGGGGGGCTCGTCCACGCCGCTGCTGCCCAGGTCCGTGTGTGAGACCGTGCTCATGGACTTCGATGCCCTGGTGCAGGCGCAGAGCGGGCTGGGCACGGCCGCCGTCATCGTCATGGATAAATCGGTGAGGAAGCGGCCCCTTCCTTGTGCCCCCCAAGCGGGGTCGCGGCAGCGCCTTCACCCTCCTCTTCCTCCCCAGACCGACGTCGTCAAAGCCATCGCTCGCCTCATTGAGTTCTACAAGCACGAGAGCTGCGGGCAGTGCACGCCGTGCCGGGAGGGTGAGCTGTGGGGCAGGATGTGGGGGGCACGGAGCCGTGGGGCAGGGTGTGGGGGGCACGGAGCCGTGGGGCAGGACGTGGAGGGCACGGAGCCGTGGGGCAGGGTGTGGGGGGCACGGAGCCGTGGGGCAGGATGTGGAGGGCACGGAGCCGTGGGGCAGGGTGTGGGGGCACGGAGCCGTGGGGCAGGGTGTGGGGGGCACGGAGCCGTGGGGCAGGGGGGGGGGCACGGAGCCGTGGGGCAGGGGGAGCGTGGGGCAGAGGGAGCCGTGGGGCAGGACGTGGGGCAGGGAGCCGTGGGGCAGGGGCGTGGGGCAGAGGGAGCCGTGGGGCAGGGAGCCGTGGGGCAGGGGAGCGTGGGGCAGGGAGCCGTGGGGCAGGGGGGGGGGCAGGAGCCGTGGGGCAGGGGGGGGGCACGGAGCCGTGGGGCAGGGGTGGGGGGCAGGGAGCCGTGGGGCAGGGAGTGGGGGGCACGGAGCCGTGGGGCAGGGTGTGGGGGGCACGGAGCCGTGGGGCAGGGGGGGGGGCACGGAGCCGTGGGGCAGGGAGCGGGGGGCAGGGAGCCGTGGGGCAGGACGTGGGGCGCAGGGAGCCGTGGGGCAGGGCGTGGGGCACGGAGCCGTGGGGCAGGACGTGGGGGGCAGGGAGCCGTGGGGCAGGGAGGGGGCAGGAGCCGTGGGGCACAGGGAGCCGTGGGGCAGGGTGAGGGGGGCACGGAGCCGTGGGGCAGAGGGAGCCGTGGGGCAGGACGTGGGGGGCACGGAGCCGTGGGGCAGGACGTGGGGGCACGGAGCCGTGGGGCAGGGTAGTGGGGGGCACGGAGCTGTGGGGCAGGGTGTGGGGGGCACGGAGCTGTGGGGCAGGGTGTGGGGGGCACGGAGCCGTGGGGCAGGATGTGGGGGGCACGGAGCTGTGGGGCAGGGTGTGGGGGGCACGGAGCCGTGGGGCAGGGTGTGGGGGGCACGGAGCTGTGGGGCAGGGTGTGGGGGGCACGGAGCCGTGGGGCAGGGTGGGGGGGGCACGGAGCTGTGGGGCAGGGTGTGGGGGGCACGGAGCCGTGGGGCAGGGTGTGGGGGGCACGGAGCCGTGGGGCAGGGTGTGGGGGGCACGGAGCCGTGGGGCAGGGTGTGGGTCACTGCTCACATCCTCCCCATCCCCGCAGGCGTGGACTGGATGAACAAGGTGATGGCTCGCTTCGTGCAGGGCAATGCACAGGCGGCCGAGATCGATGCGCTCTGGGAGATCAGCAAACAGATCGAGGGCCACACCATCTGCGCCCTGGGGGATGGAGCCGCCTGGCCTGTGCAGGTGGGGGGCACTTGGGGGGCAGGTGTGGGGCTGGGGTTTGGGGGGGGGCAGCAGCTGTTTCCCCACCCCTTTAACCCTGCTCTGCTCTGCTCAGGGCCTCATCCGCCACTTCCGACCCGAGCTGGAGGAGAGGATGCGGCGCTATGGGGAGGCCAAAGCCCGAGCAGCATCAGTGTAAGGGGAGGGGGGGTCCTGCTGCTCCCTGCATGGGTGTGGGTCAGGGGCTTCCCCAGCAGCTTGTGGGGCTCAATAAACGCTGCTGTGCTCATGGGGCCTTTCT